GACTATATTCATCACATTAATGCACACAATGTCATACTCCTTTCTGCACATATTCTGAGTGGAGAAGAACCGGTTTTTGCTTTGTATGTCGGGGGCGGGATATTCATGTGATTGGTTGTTGGTCGCGTTGCTCGCAAAAATCCCCAAGCTCTCAGACACGCCCAGCTCCAAGATTTTCAAGATTTTTTCAAAGCTGCTGTGTGGACGGGCCGTTAGGGGTATATACACCATAGACCAGCGGTTTTCAAAGTTTGAGGCGCGCCTCCCCTGGGGGGCGCCAGAGAGCCTCAGGGGAGGCGCAGCGTGAGACACAAAAGAACGAGAAAAAGACGAGTAAAGTGACACTTGCCCACTTGTGGCTGTCTGTGGAGACCGAGTTCCCCCACCTATCTGTCTAAATAAAGGTTTGAACCTCGCCAAAAAGGCTGTAAAAGTGCTCATTCCCTTCACCTCAACCTACCTGTGTGAGTGCAGGTTTTCCGCATTGACTTTGATCAAAAGCAAGTACCGGTAAAGGCTGCAGCCAGAGTATGATCTACGTTTATTCCTGTGTGCATCAAAGACGCAGACTCATTGTTCCCACTAAAGTAGGGGTGAGTGTAATAAGGAGGCAAAGTTGACGTTCAGTGTGTTACCGGGAGTATAAGGATTTATCCACCATGTTGAAAATNCAATTGTTCAAATGTCTACTGTGAAGGATATCATAAAGCTTTAATGCAATCGAATGTAAAACAAAAAAGTTATGATTGATGAAAGTAGTAAATCGGTCAGATTTGACCCGAAGACAACAGGAGGGTTAAACCCAAGTAAATATCCTAAATTCAAAAATAATATAAACATCTATTATTTATCCGCAGAAAAGACAAAATAAATAGTAAACAAACAATCAATTTAAAATCAAATATACTTTAAAAAGTGCAAGTGACCAACCAAGAACCCTGTCTGCCTAATCTGCAGAAAAATAATAAATGATAAAAAGAAAGGTGTATTTTTTTAACGGGATAACGTGTTTGAACTTCCTCTTTTTAACCGTGCCTCGTTCTGATTGGGTAACAGGGAAGCGAGGTCGTAGGAACAGTGTCGGGTCATTGGACAGTACCGTTGAAGTAAGTTTGTCGGGGGCGGGACTGAAAGCATGTGCCATGTTACTTCCCAGCATGCATCAGCAGATTATCACGCACATGTTGCATGTTTAATAATGCTTGGCTCTGCAAGGTTTTTTGTGTAATTTTGGAGCACCTTTTTTCCGGCTTTGGATGATCTTTACTTCCTGCATCAAAGCTCATACATGATGGTCATACACCAGGATGCCCAACATGTTTATAACTAATCATTTGTCTTTGTCTGCTCCACTCTTTCTTCTTCTTCTTTCCTGCATGTTTGTCTTGAAACCTGATTCTAGTTCAGTTCAGTACAGTAAAATTCACACAAAAAACTGATAGCATATCCTTTAATTGAAGTGTCTGAAAAAGCAATATTGTTCACGTATTGAAACAAACAGAGCGCTGGCTGCCGGGATGATTGGAAACTATCTCTAAAACTTTAACCAAAACTGCTGTTATTCTTCTTTTTAATATTGTGAAGTGTTTATAAGCCTGGTTCTGTATTTGATTCTCTTCCCTTGTTCTTCTCCCCTCAGGGTTCCATTATTAGCAGCCCCCGGCCCCACCAGCAGCGCCCCCTGCTGGCCGGAGGTCTCCCCTACAGCATGATGGCCCCCTCGTCTCCAGCAGCTTACCGGCCACACCGCCCAACTCAGAGCCCCGGTACAGGGGTGGGGGGTGGGCCGGGGCTCTGTCACAACCCGGGGGGGATCAGCACCTCCCCTCTCGTGAGCGGGGGAAGGGGCTGGCGGAGGAGGCGGCGATGGGGGGGTGGGAGGCCCAGTGGCGGCGCGGGGCCTGCTGGGGACACTTCTTTGGGAGCAGGAGAGGCAAAGTTCCTGTTCCCTTTGACGATGACGCGCCTCCTTCCTCAGGGTCCTCCCGTCCTCTGATGATCTCCCTCCCCCGCCCCCACTACCCCGCCCCCGCCCCCCATCGCCCACCCAGTCTCCCCTTCCCCGTGCCCCTCCCCATCGCCCAACCTCGCTCAGTCGGACTCGGGAGGGGTTGGAGGCCTCGGGCCGTCCAAGCTGCAGGCGCTGCACGCCCAGTATTGCCACGGCAACAGTGGAGGAGGCGGAGTCAGTGGGATTCAGCAGCAGCAGACTCCGCCCCCTCCCTACCACCACCACCACCGGTACCACATGCAGAGCGCCCCCCCGCACCTCACCCTCTCTCACAGGTTCTCCGCCCCGCCCCGCCGGCAGGGTCCCCCGCCTTCTCACCCCCCGCAGCACCAGCGGCTGCAGCATGGCGGCGGACAGCACCCCCGCTACAACCTGGGCTTCATCACCCCCCCACCGCTCTCCCCTCACTCCCCCCTAACCCCTACTACCCCGCACGGACTCTACCACTCGGGGAGGCCGGGGGTCGGCGGTGGAGGCAAACTCCCGCTGACCATCTCCCACTCGCAGCCTCACCCCCACGCGCACACACACTCTCACAACCATGCCGTGCTCACACACTCCCCTCTAAGCCCCTCCCCTTCCGCCTCCCCCTCCACCCATTTCATCTTCTCCACGCCTCCTCCGCAGACACCCTCGGCACGCCTCGTCAGCCAGACGCCCCCGCAGCCCTATGGGCCCCAATATCAGCAGCTGTCGTCCATCCCGCCTCCTCCTCCGCACTCGCCCTTTCCTCCGCACTCGCCCTTACCTCCGCCGCCCAACACCCCGCTCTCCCTGCACCAGGGGGCTGGGGGAGGGCAGGGGGGAGGGTCCAAATCCAAACCGGTCAGCCGGATCAGCACGGTTGTGTGAGGAGGCAGAAGATAAGGACGGTAGTTCGACGCCCCGCCGCGGGAGTGACAGTAGTGAGGAGGAGGAGGAAGAGGAAGAGGAAGAGGAGGGGAGGGCAGATACAGGAGTTTCAAAATGGCCGCCTCATGAGTAGGAGAGCACTTAGAGCGGGGAAGAGGAAGTTACTCAGCCTGTGTTATTTTCACATCCACTTCCCCTGCAGGTAGAGAGACTTTCCCCCCCTGTATCGAAGGCGTTTGTTGGAGAACGTTTTTTCCTCGAGGAGCAAAAAACACCAAGAAGGTGAATCACATATCTGAAGAATAACATGGAAGTCCTGACGTCTTGGTGACAATCGCCTCCATCCTCCCTTCGTTGTGCCCTTCAGAGGTGGATTTAAGAGGACACGTGTGTTGTTCTTCCCTGACAGAGGAAGTGTTTGTGTCATATTGTGAGTAAAAAATGTGTGAAGTGCTGTAGTGGACAAACGGTTCAGGGACCAGACGTGAAGGGAACAGTGCCTGCGGATTTATCGCAAGGGGTTAGCGCTCGATGCTAACACTACAAACCGTTTGATGGGACAGTTCAGGTTTTTTAGGAATCCTGAGAACGCGACGAGTCCTTTTTACTATATTCCAAAAAATCACACTAGTCTTGCATCGCTTTGTTTTTGCACAAAAAGCACTTGTACCGTTGTTTGGGTTGTTGACATAATACAAGCCATGAGTCGTAACAGAAAGGCGGAAGTGGTTAGCATTAATATGGTGCAGTTTCTGTGTCTTAGACAGGCGTGCATGACCTGTGCAATAGCTAATGAGTGTCGGTGTGTCAATGGTTAAAATCAATATGCAGGGGGAGGGATTTGTTGTAAATTGAAGCCCCAATCCAGCATTTCTTTGACCAGGAAAAGTGCATTAGTGAAGGTTACTGAAGACTTTCCTATCTACAATAAACTTTTGTAATAACTTTAAATAAGCCATCATAACAAAAACTACAGGTGTCTTTTTACCTTTGTGTTTTGCAAAAATGACTAAAAGCCTTTAGTGTTTGTGGATAACAGGGTTTCAGCAGGGGGAGCTACAACGTTGTTTTGGATTGGATTTAAGCATGGTAATGGTTTACTTTTGACATTGCAATTTTCCCATTGATTTATTTGATTATTCTTAGAAAACCAATGAATTCTCCCCTGCAAGTGTCTAAGTATATTTGAACGTATAAGCTTGAATTATAATATATGTCAACTGTATTTCATGCTTCATATTCTATGTGACCCTATATGTTGCTGGCAAAGGAGATTATGCTGAAAGGTGCCAAACAGGGTGCATTATGGGAAACAGAGTATTTTGTTTAACTGGCTTGTTTGAATTTGATGAACCCCGGGAGCTACCGTACCTCTGGATATTTCTCAGTGGAAATGTTAAATGAACTGGGTGGGAAACTACATTCAAAAAGTTGTATTAAGTTGAGACAATCTAAATTGTGCATTGCCCAAAGAAAATCCGATACTTCAAGAACTCCAAGAAAGGAGGAATTCCCAAAGAAAAAAATGTGATCCACGGTGTCTACAAGAGGACAAGGGTCACATTAATTTTTCTGGAAGTTCGACCAAAAGTAATACAAATTTGGGGAGTTTTGATTAAAAAAAAAATCCTAAAAAATAATATTTCTGAGATTGACTTTATTCTCGGTATTCTGACTTTTTCAGAACTAAACATTATTTTATTTTTTTAATAAAAAATCGTATGTGACCCTAATCCTCTTCCGTAGGTGTCCCCAAAAACACAGGTAGGCCTACATACTTTTTGGTTACCAAAAAAAGAATCTGCAGAAAGCAAAACTCGGGAAAAACGAGCTTATATAACTAAATATGAGCACAAGTTGTTGTCCCCAAGAAACAAAGAGAAATTGCTGTCTTAACTTTTGGAAACAGACAGATGTATTTGGCTAGTTAAAATAAAGATGTATTTCCCACCCAGTCCAAACTGGTTTATTTTCTCTAAATATGATGTGAAACATTTCTGGTGACCTTGAGGGTGAACAAAGTTTAATACCACTTCCACTACATGTGATGCATAAAAGAAGAATAAGGTGCCTTCAGATGGAGGGACATGACCATAAGAACAAAATTAAAGAAAGACCACCTTGGAATATAAAGACAATTCAGAATCTAAAAAAGTAATACAAAGTGATTGATTGTATCCATTCAAAAAAACAAATATCAAGCCATTTACTGCATATTTTTGAAAATCTGGCTAAAGGACAGAGGCCATCGTCTAACGATCATCCAATAAAGGAACCTGAAACTGGACCTAATTTCATCTTGAAGGACTTGCAAACATCTGGACTGAAGTGCAGAAAATGTTTCACCAACGCAGCACTAAGTGAAATATTCTTCAACAAACTCATTTTTACACATTATTTTTGCACCTTGTGTTACCATGCCAGTATTAACTTGTATTTCCTCGCTCTCTCCATTTGATCGAGATCACCGGATGTCAGGGCAGGAAGCCCGTGATGGCTGATAGAAAGTTCCTTCTACCATTTGAACTATTTACCAGCCATTTGTACTTTTTTGGACTAGAACTAAACCTCTCAGTGCTTGTTGCTTTCCTGTCAAAAGGGCAGGTTTTTGCCAGCCTCTTAAAAATATTTACCAGCGTTCAACTGGTGGATGGTGAGATATTCCTATGATGTTCTGAATGCAATCATCAATAACATGGTTTTTAGTTTCCTTGTGATTACGTGAATGCGCCAACTGTAGATAATAACTGTACAGTGTGTTCTATTTTCAATGGGGCCAACTGCACTGATGTGTAAGTTCAGAATTGCTTGAATTAACAAAATGTATGCTCTAAAAACCAAAAGCTCATCAGGGTTCTTCACTTGAAAAACAAAACAATGAAAATACCTTAACTGTTTTTGTAGAAGCTTTTTGTTTTCGAGGTTTGTGGAAATACTGTCATGGATTATCAATGGACGGAGTTCCTCAGGGTACCGTCTTTGGTCCTCTATTGTTTTCAATCTGAAGAACCCCTTTGGCTTTTTAGAGTGTGCTTCTGATATTATTATCAATATTGTTGTGTAACAAGCTTCTACTAACATAACGTACTCCTTGGGCTGTTTTGTATTTTTAGCATTTTTGATTTTGTTATGTGCTTACAAGTGTGAGATATTTTTTTCTGATTGGGGCATCTTATAAAAGTACAACAACTTTTTTTTTGATTTTCTTAATATGTTGACAACAAAACCAAGACTTTTCGGTTACTAACCAACAACTAATATTTTCTAATATTTTAAATACAGACTGATTATTTCTTTCACTCACCCCCGCATGGTTCTGCAAACAAACACCTCTGAATCATCGCGAAGCCTCTCACCAACCTTTTAATGGAAACAAGCAACACTTCTGCTACCAAACAACCTTTTAAAAACATTATATGCTAAGCTGCTAGGAACTGTGGATGGTTGGTTACCCATCATGTATCTAAAATTACCTACAGAAACACAAATGAACACCATGTCAAATAAAGGCTATACAATTAATTGAACACACTTGAAATAACAAAACAAACTTCTCGAGGAGCACTGGATTAAACCTACCTCGCACAGGATTACACAACATTTCACCCTGATCCACTGCGTGCCTGAGCTGAAGCACATCCTCACTAAAATGTATATTTTAAAGCGACCTTGCTTTTGCGTGTTTTTGCCTACAGTACTGCAATTTACATTACTGCCAACCATCTTTCCACTTATCCCTTTGATTTTAAGAGCTCTTTCTTTCGGACAACCTTCGATTTTAGTGTCAATCTCTTTTTAAGGAAAATCAGTTTGCAGACACTCTGTTTATACAGATAGATAATCAGTACAAACAAACATACATTTAGCCATGACCTGAGTGAGTCTTTATGACTTTGTTTCAGATTGTGTTCTTGGACCCCAAATACCCACTTGCAGGTCCAGTTTACAGAAAATTCTTGTCGGTATTTTTTGTGTTTTTTTCTTTTATTCTGGGGTTTATTTGCTTACACGAAAGCTCATTTATACAATCAACAACCATCAACACTCAAATGTAATGGTTAAAGGCAAATTCTCTATAATGGATTAGCTCTCTGCTGCACAATTTTCTGCAATTAGATATTCATTGAAATAAACCAATAACTGCCTGGACATTAGGAAATCAATCTAAATGGATTGCATGGTTGGCACAAGTAATTTACAGTATATGCAGTTAAAGGATATACAAAAGCACAGGTATGGCACTTTAAATTCCACATTTAAATTCGTTTTTTTTCTGCCCGGGCCTGCTCTCCACTATCGGTTTGCATGTGATATTTATTACAGTATCTGCACTGAATGAAGCTGTATTATAAACATGAATGTACATAACCATTGTTTTATGAAAAATAACAATGCGAGTAGTACTCACTTTGCTCCACAGAGGGCAGTTTGTGTCGGGCTGGCTTTACAACAGGAATGGAAGATCTGTCTTTTAACGCCAAAAGAAACAGATCTGACTCCTGCAGGCAAAACAGGGAACATTTAAAAAAAGAAAGAAATGAAAGCATATCAGATCCGATTCAAATAAAGTAAAAAATGTTGGATTCTTCTGTTCTTGTGTAAAGGAAAGCCTGTGTTGTGTGTATCTATACAAGGGCGATGGACCTGGGTCTACGTTGTACGAAACAACACAATAGACCGCTTTGTGGAGAAAAAATATTTCTTGTTTATAATGTAGAGCAAAGAGAGACTGGAATAGTCCTTGTAAAATTGTACGAGTACAGTGTCAAATATGTGTCAACAGAGACAACATTATTTTGAAAATTATGTATGGAACATTTTAGCTGTGTATATAAATATATATTACTTGTACTTTGTTTTTGAAATTGAAGAGATATGGAAAAAAGTGGAAATATTTATTGCTCTAAAGATATAAAAAATCTGTTCATGTTGATGGAACGACGTGTCCTGTTTTGTTTGCCCGATTTATGTGTATGCACAAACACAGCTGTTTTCCAGCAATCACAAGGTTAAGGGAACATTTTTTACACTTAGGGGCACTTTGTTTAAGAGTGAGATTCGGGCCATTTTAAGGTAGGACGTGGTTGGCTAAGCTTAGCAAAACTATAAAGGATGGAAGCAGTGAGGAAAAAAATAGCCAGCCTCTTTCTAAATTTCACACACTGGTGCCTCTAAATCTCACTGTTATATGTTTTTTTTCATTGTATAGAATTAATGTTCTCAAAACGTATATGGAAAAAACATTTTGATCCTACTACAAAGGGTCTTCTTGACACTTTTTGAAGTGGCACTCTTAAAGGTCATATTTTGTATTGGTAGATAAATCTTATATTAGTTTACATTTTCTTTTAATCATATGTTATCTCATCTATGTCAGGATATAGCAGAAAACACCAGTCGTTATTTTTTCCCACACATCCACTCTCTCCTCTCAAACTCCACTGCTCTGCCGGTCCTGACCGTCAACCCCCTGCTTCACTGACATCTCGCAGCATGAAGTTGAGGCCATGATCAAAAAGATGAAACCCTCCACATGGGCCCTGGACCCCTTTCCCACAGCCCTGGTCAAATCTAACATTGGTGCCATAAGTCCCCTGATCACTTCAGTGATAAACCACTCCATCCAGTCTGGTCATGTTCCATCCCCATTAAAAGCTGCTGTCATCAAACCACTCCTCAAAAAACCCACATTAGACCCTGAAGTCCTTGCTAATTACAGACCCATCTCAAAGCTGCCATTTCTATCAAAGGTGCTGGAGAAAGTAATTGCCATTTAGATTCAGGAACATCTCAAACTCAATAAGCTCTTTGAAAGATTCCAGTCTGGTTTCCGCCAGGGCCACAGTACAGAAACTGCCTTAGTCAGGGTGACCAACGACCTGCTGATGAAAGCTGACACCGGATCTCCATCTCTCCCCATCCTCCTGGATCTAACTGCAGCATTTGACACCGTCAACCATGAGATTCTACTCCATCATCGGGAGGACTGAGCATGTTAACTTGGGAACGGCAACACCACAAACACACTGTGTGACCTGTGGTGTCCCTCAAGGATCAGTCCTCGGCCCCACCCTTTTCACCATATACATGTGGTGAAATGTATATGGCGGCTGATGACACTTGGTCGTGTCATCAGCCGGCATGGAATATTGTTCCATTGCTATAATAATAATAATAATAATGCATTTATTTTATAAGGCGCCTTTCAAGGCACTCAAGGTCGCCGTACAACAAGGTTAAAAACAGTTTTTTTACAAACATAGTTAAAAGCAAAACACAGTTTAAAAACATAACTACTAAAAACATACAGCTTGCAGCACAGGTCAGCCATACGCTTGCCTGAACAGGTGGGTTTTGAGGTGAGTTTGGAAAGTAGTGATAGTGTCCATGTTTCTAATATCAGGGGGGAGGGAGTTCCAGAGGTGAGGGGCAGAGCGGCTGAAGGCTCTTGACCCCATGGTGGAGAGACGGGCTGGGAAAACTTTGAGAGTGATGGAGGAGGCAGACCTAAGAGACCGGGTGGGAATGTTAAGAGGGGGCTACGCTGCTTGCGACTCATGTACGAGGCCCTTATGTGTCAGCTGATGAAGGAGAACCTCGGGCCCGACCTGGCTGATGAGACGAGGGAGAACCTTGACATTCTGAGAGATACGAGTCAATCCG